CTGAAAATAACACAAAAGGCGTAAGTTTTCACAAACACTTATGGGTAAATTTGTTTCAAAAAATATAGAACAATACAAAATGCAGAAGTTTTCACAATCACGTAAGTCATTTTACAAAAATGGATAACTTAACTAAAAAACGTGTAAGTTTATCCCAAAAATGTAGAACACAACACAAATCATATAACTGATTTCACAAAAATGCGTAAGTTTTTACAAAAAATGCATAAGTTTGATCCAAAAAATATAGAACAACACAAAATGTGTAAGTTTTGACAAATGAGGTAACTAATGTCACAAAAAGGCGTAACGTTTCACAAAAATACATAAGTTTGTTAAAAAAATATACAAAAACACAAAATGCGTAAATTTCACAAAAGCCAGGGTAGTTAACATAAAATGATGCCTAAGTTTGTTTTTTTTAACAACAGAAAAATGTATAAGTAATTACAACAAATTACACTTTTGTCGACTAAATTTGGCGACCAAAAGGAATTTAGTTGCCAAAAGTTACTTTTTTGGTGATTAAAAAATTTATTAGTTGGTGTTGGTTCAAGATTTAGCTACTATATTATTTTAGTTACGATATATTATTTATTGGCGACTAAAAAAAATTAGTCGCTAAATATGATGTAAATAGGCGATTAAAAAAATTTTAGTTGGCATAAGTTTAGATTTTAGACTACTAATTCTTATTTTAATCGTCATATATAATTATTTGCCAACAAAATGAAGTTTAGTTGCCAAATAATAGGCTTATTTTTGGGTTAGTCTTTGCCGACCAAATAATTTTGACGACAAATATAAATTGTTGGTGATTAAAAAAATTTAGTCCTTGTATGTTCAATTTTTGCCACTGACAAAAAAAATTAGTAGCCAAATTTTAATTTTGGCTACAAAAATTGTCGTTATTGATTAATATTTGTCGACAAATTGAAATTTTATATTGCCGCCACCACCAAACCTGACCACTGATGCTCACCACCCCACCGTCGCTCGCCACCGTCGCACACCGCCACCCCCACCGCCACCGCCACCGCCGCAAATCACCACCGCCACTGTCGCAAATCACAGGTTCCTCTCTCTCTCTCTCTCTCTCCCTTCCCCTATTTCCCCGTTTCTCACACGTAGCTCTAGGGTTTTACACAGAAAAAATTTTGATGTAAAAAATCAAAATCAATGAACAGGCTGATTTATTTCAGTTTAGCAAACAAGAATCATTCAGAAGCATTGATTCATAAGTGCATTCATAAATCTATACTATTATATAAAGAACGGAAGCATACACCTCAATTGAATCTAACGCTATCTTATTGTCCATTTCACCCTTCTTGTGCGAAGAGAATATCAGTTGAACCAGGTGGCTATCTTGTTCACATCGTTTGAAGATTGAAGGTCGATCCTAGAAATTTCTATCCGCTGAGTCCTATTTGAACGAAATCATCAGTCACTGCTGTCACTGTGGCCTATTAAGAGATGAAATCACCGGAGGTACAACGCCTACACCAGCTCCCCGCTTCATCACCGTCGTCGCGGTGCTACAGAGATGAAGATACAGGTATTTTGTATCCATTTCTGTATGTTTTTGGTGTGTAATCTTCTGGCTGCTTGTTTGTCTTATATTGGGATATGGACACCTGATTTGTATTTATTGGTGTTTGTTTGTATTTATTGCTATTTGTTAGTGCAATAGACAAATTATGCACACTATACGCTTGATAAAATGCCTGACTAGCTGTCTGATTAAGCTAAACCCAATTTATAAACCGGTCAATTAATGGGTCTCAATAATTTAAATTGGGCTCATTATTTGGTAGTCTAAGTACCAGAACATTCTGATGAATTCACAACTTCAGATAGCTAGAACTCATAAGGGTTTCAAGATAAAAGGTTATTTAAAGCAAAAGATAGCTTTTTTCAATATGGGTTTTGAATTTTGAAACCGAAATTGGATTCTGAGAGATAGGAAAGTCGTTTTCTTTGTTTCTTGGAAGCTAGCAAAAACCACCAAAGAACATTAAATTCACTAATAACTTCCCAAAAAGAAACACCAAAGAACAATCTAGAACCAAAAATAGACTGAAGAAAACTAAAGCACTTGTTGTCGAATTGAAAATTGGAAATTATGAGATTGTGTATATATATGTCTATATACAAAGAAACCTACCAAACCCATATTGTATTGAATTAGAAAGAACAAGGAAATATGGAAGTCATAATAAATGATAATTCAAAAGTGCTTAAATATAGTTTACCCACAAGAAAACAAAATGAACAGATTGCTATAATAATTGATAGAAAGCCCCGAAGAGAAAAAGCATGCAAAAAAAAGAGTAAACTTTGAGTTTTTATTGGTATAGACCTGTGAGAGACAACTTATTTTTTTAATATGCATTGTTGCTTATTCTTTGTGATTATGAGATGCCAATTGATGTTTACATATGATTTACTGAAATGACATATTGTCAAGATCTTAAAATTCGTAATCTCTTTCTGCTTCTTCATCACATGTCCTTAAGAGCAGGCCTTAAGATGCCTTGGTTGTGAATAGATTTCTATAATGCTCTTTAACTCTGGCTCGACCCACCAGACACAAACTCAACTCTCGCTCGAGCGACGAACTCCTGGCTCGAGCGAAGGTGCAAAAATCTGGGCAGCAACACTAGGCTCCCAAACACAACCAACCTGTAACAAACCTGCCCAACACATCCTATAACTTAAATACAAAGTAAAAAGGATGTAAACAAGATAAACAACAACTACCAACATCTACGGACACATGTCCGGATCACTGTTCAACAAGGGAAAACCCGGGATCGCTATACAATTACTATTGCCAACCAAATATAGATGGTTATAAATATCCAAATTCCAGCAAGCTTTCAATTGTGGTGTCTAATGGTTTAAGTGTACATGTGGTGGTGGGTTTATTGTTTTCTCACTTTGAATGTTTTTCTCTCTAAAACTAATACCAGCCTACTAAAAGCATCATTAAGCATGGAGAAGCCTTTCATTTCTGATTTTCAGGCACACACATGCACACGCATTGCCACCTTATTGTACCACTATCAGTCAAAAGTTTTTGATGACATGCAATTTTTTAAATTTATTTTTCTTGTTCTTCTTACATGGAGATTGCATCTTTCTCAAAGTTTTTGCTATTGGGTAATCTAGGCCTTGGAATTTTGGGCCCAATGACTTTACATTAGTCTATATATCTCATTTTCTCGTTGATTTTGAGAATTTAATAACTCTCTAATTCTTTGTCTTTAACAACCAATTCTATACATACCCCAACTTCCTAAATTACGTCTGTGCTTACAGTTCATTGATTGCGAATCAGCCAATAGTGATAGCTTTTTGGTGCTTCTATTTTTTTTTTCCTCAGGTTTTCTTTTTTATTTCTGACTTCTAGATTTTGTGATTCCATTTATATAGAGCCAATTCAAATAAAAAGATACAAGATTAAGTGGATTCAAACTAAATTATGATGCAAATTCTGAAAAATGGTTTTATTGAAGTGTTGAAATTATACTGTATACATAACAGGAATAAAATGGTTAGCATATAAAACTACCATGTTGCTTTCATTGTACAGTGATGGTTAATATCACGGGTTGTACTAATTAGAGACCACAATAGCTTAATTTAATGGTGCATCTTGATAATAGAAGTCATTTCCTTTCCTGGAATATAATGCTTAAAAAAGTAGTTGATTGTGCAATGTTTTTTAATCCCAGGTAAGTTGGGATTTGAACAGATTACCGTTAGTTAGAAAAGAAAGTGGGTACAATGAGGCGCCACGAATTGTTGCCATTGCCGAGGAAAATATAAAATCTTCACTCTAGTTGAAGACCACATAATCAACTGAAACTTTTCCACTTAAATTAAAAGCATATAAATACATGCCAAACCTCTTCTTTGTGTTATATTTTAACTTTTTGTGTGTGTGTTGTGCACACCCATTCTATGACACCCAAATACATGGTGCACACTTCATTAGTGAATTTTGTGTTGGTCTTTGAGACAATGTTACTCTTTAGTAAATTTGTATTGCTAGCTCATGATTTTGATGATTAGCAACGTATTCAAAAGAGATAAGACCCCCATGTATTTTTTAGTTCCAGCATTGATATCACAATGTCAACGGTTTGAGACAAAATGTCAACATCCCCATCCAATTTTTAGTTTCAGCATTGACAATTTCACATGGTTCGTAAGGAGTTGTTCCTAATATCTGAGTAAACTCTTCTTATTCATTTCTTCTTCCCCACACTCATATCAATGGTTTGTAGGGAATTGTTCCAAATGTTTCTGTAAACTCTTGTCATTCATTTCTTTTTCTTTCTTTATTTTTTTTTTTTGGTGCAAAATGTTGCCATTCACTTCATATTGCATTCTTCGAACCATTGATGAGACTCCGAAAATTTTAAAATCTCCAATTGGATCAAGAAGAGCAGCATACTATTTCTATTTCAAACTTAGAATGGGTCGCATGCTGAACTCTGATCAACAGGTATTTTTGTTACATTGAGTTCTGTTCAATGTTTGAGATTAGATGCAAACATAAATTATGTAGAACTTATTTTAGTGGTTCTACGTGATTCTACGAAAAATCAAAGATACTTGTATGCATTTGAATTATGAAAATATGCCTTACACTTTTCTCTTTTAGAAGTTCGACCATCTTGTGCCCTATCTCAACTAATGTACTGTGTTTTGTATTGCATCTTTGCCTGCTTAAACTTTTTGAACATCTCTGAGTATCATGGTCAAAATTCATCATAAGTATCTAATGAGATTTGATTCAAATATGTGAGAGAAACCATTAGCCAAGTGATAAGCTCACGGTATAAGAAAAAAATTTTAACTAATTTTTCTATCCCAATATTTGCTCTTTGTGGATTGTGCCATACTTTTAAAATTTATTTGGCAGATTGAGTTTGTAATCAAATGAATATGTTGCATAAACTTGATGTTCAGTACACCCCTCTCAACACCCTCGATTGAATGTGAAGTTGTTGCCCATGCATTGACATATAAACTACAGACAAGTTTCCTAGCAAGGAATTGGCTGAAAATCAGTTTTCCCTGCTCTATTTTCATTTTGTGTTTTGATTCTGTAATTTTCTTTTTCTTCCTTTTTGTTGATTTTGTTAAGGTTGGCAGCTTGGAATCCAAGAAGGGGCAGCTGATTAGGATGAAAATTGGGACAAGTTTGAAGATGAAGGTATGTTTTCATATAGGATTAAGTGGACATTTTTCTTGAGTATTTTTTGTCAAGAAGTGTTTGATGATGGATCTTTGAGTGTCTGCACTGCTTGTTACTCTTCTTGTCATTTAAAATGCATCTAATGCCTCCTTTTTTTGATTGGCCTAAATGTTTTGTGGGTTGAAAATTTTCTGGTATAGGGAATCTGAAGCCAAGATGTGCAAGTTGTAGTTGTATTATAATTTCGATGAACTCTTGCCACTTCCGAGTTTCACATTTGTCAAAGAGCTCACTCTTGATGTGGAAAAGAGGGTGTACATGTTTCATCAACAAATGCTGATCATAACTCAGAAATGCCACCAAGTGGAGGGGAAAGGATTGCTGATGATGCTCATAGCGAAGACAGCGTAGAACTTCAGTGCAGATGGTTCACCGCATGCGAGAGAGACCTAGAGGTACAGGTTTTATTTTGCATCATTTTTGTATTTTCCTTCTGCGTTGGATTTGAAATGTTTTATTGGTGTCCGAACCTTTAAACCATTGCACGGCATCTATCTACACCAATTGTTTTATTCAAAAATCCGAATTTCTACATGATTTTATTGGTGCACTGAACACAGGGGTGTTGAATCTGTGTTCTCTGGGGACAGAAGTGTTGATGAACGAAACTGGGGTGCATTTGACGCTCATGATTCCAACTTAGGCTGGGACTTCAGTTCTGGTCCTATAAAGGTATATGAATACTTCTTGATTTGAGTGGCAATCCAGTTTGATCTGTGCATTAATTAGAGATGCAGTGCAGCCATGCATGATGCATGTGAAGTTTTGATCCATATCCCTTTGATCATTCAGTCTCTCTTTTCTTTGGCGTTGTCCATGAGAATCCTTTTTCCTGAATTTTTGGTTTAATGTTCTTTTGTAGATGATTTTTTTTCCTCTAAAAAAAAAGAATCAAATTTTTCATGCATGTGAAGTTTTGATCCATGTCCTTGAAGTGTATTCTGAAATATTTTTGACTTACCATAAAGAAAGGGATGTTTGTGTGTATACAGTTTTTGTCTACAACGGGAATTACAACATTACCAAGGCAATTAGAAAGTAAAATTAATGGAGTATTGTTTTCAAATAAATCAGTAGTTGCTTGGATAGTAAAAGCGACGGGCAAGGACACACATACATATATTGCATATAACTACTGTCATTTATTTCATTTCTCTTAATAAAAATGTACTATGTTTATTTTTTTCTCTATACATAATCTTACATATATATTTCAATTATCTACGTTAACAATGTCGCGACCCCCACACGCAGAGCGTGTGGGGGTTTAACTAGTTTATTTTTTAAGAAAAGATTTATGGTAAAACAGATTTATGATTTGGGCTTTCTTTGTTTTGTGCTTTTCTTGCTTGAGCAAAAACCATCAGGCTTTGTAGAGTTTGAGAAACACATAACCCAATCATACATTCTGTGCGATTGAGTGGTGGGGCTGGACTCCTCCGACTTTGAGCTTTGTCTTTCCAGACTCTGGTTCTGTGTGCAAATCAAATTTGATAATTCCAGTGACTCTTAATTGAATTTTGTATGTTAATGTTTGTTCTTCTGTCTTTGGAGTTCAATAGTGTGGGTTTGTACTCATTACTTCATGCTGTTTAGATTCAATAAATTCCCTGTTAAGTTGTACACAAAGTAAATAATATGCAGGCTGATGCAGCAGTAGTTATGGATTGTCATAGGTTTTTGCTCGGACTTATGTCTTTAGTTGGCTTTTCTTGTCAATACGTGCTTAATCCTTTAATGGACTATTGGTATAAAGAAATTTTCCTTGTACCAAAAAAATAAATAAAAGTAGTAAGTTTCCTTTTCTAATGAATTATAAAAACATATTTCTGCATTTTAATTTTTGGACAAATAAATGGACTGGCACTTAGCATTAATTTTCCTTTTTGAATTAATTATAAAAACATAATTCTGCATTTTAATTTATGCACAAATAAGTGGACTGGCACTTGGCATTTTGCCACTGTTGTAATCATAGTTTCATTCTTTTTACTCAGCTGCATATGAATGTACGGTGGTGTTAACCTGACTTTGATTTCTCTTTTTTCATCTTTGATTGAGGCTTATTAATTTAGTGCATTTGCAGTCCAGTTTTGGTACTAATTAAACACATAAGAGTTGCTGTTGAGTTCTTGTAGCTGCTAGGTGCTCTGTATACTGTTATGAGCAGCAGTAGTAGTTTGACAAGGTTCTTATACAAACTGTTTGGTTCATGGTATGCCAAATGGTCTATGTTACTCTTAAGTCCTGCCTATTCTAAATTCAACATTGTAGTAACAACCCCTCTATTGAATTCGTTCTCTACAAAGTTATTTTTTATGTCTTTGGAATTCAAATATGAATTTAAGAAAATTTGAGACCTTTGTATGGCCAGTCTATTATGAGTCTGGTTTTATAATTTGAATAGTTTTTTTGTAAAAAATATTGTGTAATTTTGTGTATACTATTTATAAAAAAAATTAGATTGATTTGATAATCATGACTTATTATTCGTCGTAATGAAATTCCCTATTCATGCTTTACTTTCTCTCTATGAAGCACGGACACGGACACGCGACACGTGACACGCGACACGACACGACACGGACACGACACGGACACGCAAAAACGCAAATTTTCAAAAAATAGGGGACACGACACGTCGGGGACACGTTCAATATATATAATTTTTTTTATATATTATATGTAAAATTAAAAAATATATACTATTTTTATTTATTTATTTTATTTATTATATGTAAAATTAAAAAATAAATATATTATTTGTATTTATTTATATTATTTATTTACAAAAGAAAGGCATAAAAAAGAAAAAAGAATAAAAAGAATAAAGACACTCAGACGGTAATAAGGAAGAGGGAAGAGAGTGAGAAACAAAAAAAACAGGGAGAGACAGAGCGAGAGCGAGAAAGAGAGGCGATGGCGAGAACAGAGAGTGAGAGGCGAGACCAGAGAGAGATGGACAGAGAGAGGAGATGAAGACGATGAGAGACGAACAAAGAGAGAGAGGAGACGAACAGAGACGCGAAAGAAATACCTCGATCAGAGACGAAGAGGACTCGATCTAGCCTCGATCTGGGCTTCAACAGGTTCTTCCTCTCTCTCTCTCTTTCTCGTTCTCGAGATGGACAGAGAGAGAGGAGATGAAGACGATGAGAGACGAACAGAGAGAGAGAGGAGACGAACAGAGACGCGAAAGAAATACCTCGATCAGAGACGAAGAGGACTCGATCTAGCCTCGATCTGGGCTTCAACAGGTTCTTCCTCTCTCTCTCTCTCTTTCTCGTTCTCTCTCTCTCTATCTTCAATGGGTTAGGTCCTGGTTAGGGTTTTTTTCTGTTTACACTATGTCCACGATGTGTCAAGCGTGTCCAAAAGAGTGTCCACCTGCAAAAATTCAAAAAAAAAAAGGGGACACGTTAGGTCGAGTGTCGGACACGTGTCTACCGCGTGTCCGATGCGTGTTCGTGTCCGACACGTGTCCGTGCTTCATAGCTTTCTCTCTTATTTTAGCACTTTGTCCTTTTCTTTTAATTATCTTGTGAGAAAAAAAGTATTGAACGTACCAATTTACATTGGCACCTCTATGATAGAAGATTTATTTAGTGCTCATATATTCATTTTAGTATAATGTTGATTTTAAGTTCACTCATAGGATTTGGCCTATAGTTCAGAAAAAGCTTATAAATAGAGAATAGGACAAATAGGACCTTCTACTATCCACAAATCTTGCATACTGTGGATTTTCCATTATTGAGTATTTTTCTATGTATTGTCCATTCCCATGTTGTATTTTTGCTTGGTTTGTAGGGTTCGAAAGACGGACAAGAGTTTGATGATGATAAAAGATAGGTTGAAAAGTAAAGAGTATCAACAAGGTGTTAAGTCATTTATTGAATTTGCTATGAAGAATTTAGTCCCACAGGATGACATTCGTGGTCCGTGTGTCGATTGCTTGAATGGAACAAAATTTAGTCGACAAATTATATGGTTGCACTTGATTTGAAAAGGAATCGCGTGTTCTTATAGAACTTGGGTGCACCACGGGGAACATGTTCCTATGTATCGTGATGATATTGACATTATTGTTTTGAATTCAAGCTAATAGGATATTTCATTAAGGTTTGAGTTGTCACTTTCATGCTAATATGCTTCGGCTGTGTTGATGAAATTTATGTTCTTAATAGTAAAAAGCATCAGCATCAAAGAATTGATCTGAAAATTCTTCATTTGCATACCCAGTTCAAAGTTTGGGGTATTGTCAAGTGAGACATGTTTTGTGAGACATGTCTCGTTTATAAATAAATGGTTTGTGTATATCATTTTCACCGTTGCTTATGGGTTTTATTTAATTTGAAATTTTGTATCTGTACTTTCAATAGGTTTTGATGTGTAATATTAGGAGACTTAGCAGCTGAGGACCTAGTGTTTGGATACTCTGAAGGACTTCATTCTGATGTAGAAAAAGGTAAGCACATGCTTTCTATGAAATATTCACTTTCCCTGAATTGATAAGGAATACTCACTGGCAGTTTATCAAATATGAAACAGTTGAACAAAGTACCTAAATGGTTGGGTTTCACATAGAGTAGATTAGCACAAAAAGCTTGGGTTTCACAAACATTCATTTAAGTTAATTGAAAAAAAAAAAATTTAAAATAATCCAACTTAGTCAAAAAAGGGCGTTCGAGAGGCAAAAATGTAAAACAGCCACTGAACCACTCTATGGATGTCAAGCGTAGCTTTCTCGTGACACATAGGACCTGTGAGGATAGACGGCATGTAATTAGCATACTTAGGTTGGGAGTTGGAGTCAAAAATGCCTTAAACTTAGTCGAAAAAAGGCGTTCGGCTGGTGAAAACACAAAACAGCCCCTGAACCACTCTATGGATGTCACGGATAGCTTCCTTGTGACACATAGGACCTGTGGGGACAAACGGAGATGTAATTAGCACACGTAGGTTGAGAATTGGAGTAAAAAAAGCCTTAAACTTAGTCGAAAAAAGCCCTTCGAGGAGCGAAAATGCAAAACAGCCCACGAATCACTCTATGGATGTTACGGGAAGCTTCCTCGTGACACATAGGACTTGTGGGGACAAACGGCATGTAATTAGCACACGTAGGTGGGAGTTGGAGTCAAAAATGCCTTAAACTTAGTCGAAAAAATGCGTTTGGGGGGTGAAAATGCAAAACAACCCCCGAACCACTCTATGGATGTCATGGATAGCTTCCTCATGACAAGGGATGTAATTAGCATACGTAGGTTGGGAGTTGGAATAAAAAATGCCTTAAACTTAGTCGAAAAAAGGCGTTTGGGGGGAGAAAATGCAAAGCAACCCCCGAATCACTCTGTGGATGTTACGGGAAGCTTCCTTGTGACACACAAGACCTGTGAGTACAGACGGCATGTAATTAGCACACGTAGGTTGGGAGTTTCAAAAATGCCTTAAACTTAGTCGAGAAAAGGCGTTCGGGGAGTGAAAATGCAAAACAGCCTCCGAACCACTCTATGGCTGTCACGGGCAGCTTCCTCATGACAAATAGGACATGTGGCAGCTTCCTCATGACTATGGACATGTGAATATATTTTAGTCATGAGTTGCATGTATTTTACCTTGATGAAGAAGAACAAGAAGCAACAAATTGGCTGGAAAAGAAGAATAACCATGGTTAATGAGGTGTATGTTCAAAAAAAGTTTGGTTCCTTTGCTATTTTAGCCTGAAGACCTTTTCTTTAGAAACTCTATTTTTGCTTTCAGTGTTGCTTTCTGCAATGAAGAGAGTATTGCAGAGGTATTTTTGCTTCAAAGAAATTTCTGTCTGTTTTAGGCTCCATTTGTTTTGATGTAATATAATTTACACTGAAAATAATTTCACATAGAATAATTTACATCTCTTATTTTTCAATGTTTGGCTTCTACTCTAAACAGTTCAAATCACAAATCTCAAGGCAGGCTACCAGTTAGCTATTGCTCTGCTATTTATACATAAAAATAAATATATCATAGATTGTTTGAGGAACCAAAAATAGACAGTGAATTAGAATGGCATGCTTCATCACCATGTAAACCAACCAATTAAGGAAAAGAAGAAATAGAAGCTGAAACTGTGGGAGACCATTTTCTTTTTCGTTGTAATTAATATTTTCCCCTTTCATTATGTTTATTATTTCTAATTGTTCTTTTTGACTGTGACACTAAAAACACAAAAGGAAATTTTTGCCATAACTTATCCCTTCTAAGCACCATCATTTTAAACTCGAAGGGTACAACAACTTGAACAATTAAATGCTAACTTCAGCACAGGCCTTATATACTACTACATACACACTTCTATTGGCTTACTATTACCCGACCTCATACTCAAAGGCCATGAAACATGGAGGAAAGCTTTTTTTCCACTACAATATAGTAACAGGTATGTGTCTTTGGCCAGTGGTCAGCCACCAACCATTTCATTATATCATGCAGACACAAAGCATCAAACATATTATCACATTAGTCATTCTTTTAATAATGAATTAGAAATGCTTGCTAATCAAGTCCATGAAACTCTGATATGTTTATTTATTCACTATTCACAATTCAAATCTCCATTTCAACAATAGTGGAGTTGAGGTGATAGGTGATTACAAGTCCAAAGGTTTTGCTTATATACCCTTTCCTCGGGTTTAGGCAAGAGAGAGGGAAGTGAATCTAGAGAGGAGAAGAAACCTTAGTTTCAAATTTATAAGGTTCACCATTCACATAGTAAGATTTAAAAATGAAAAAAAAGACAATATGCTTCAATGAGAAATCTCTCTGCATGTGGGAACTATTTCCCATTCATTTTGCTCAAAAAACACTAAAGTGTCACAAGAAAAACAAAACTTCTTGCACACACTCCAAAATATAGGTCATTATGATCAAGGCATGCTTTTCAACCTATTCCCCCTCAAGGATATTATAACAGCAAGAAAACAAAAGAATCTTACAGCAACTAATCCAAATAGTTTCATTTCTAAAATAAGTTAACTTGAGCAATATTTTACATACCTCTGGATGCACAATACCAAAAGTGCCTATGCACTTCCCTTTGTAAATGATTCTAGCTTGTCTACCCAGAAGAAACCTCAGGCAATTGTTCCATAGGTCAATTAAAAGAGAATGTGTAGAAGAGGTAAGACTTACATCTGCACATTGGGAATAGTAGCCTGCATTTATCCCCAGGTTTTAGAAATGGTGTCTCAATTATTTTCATAACTTTGTCGAAAATGGCTTAAACTTAATCAAAAAAAGGAAACAACCCCTGAACCACTCTGTGGATGTTACGAGCAGGTTCCTCGTGACAAATAGGACCTATGGAGACAGACAGGATGTAATTAGCACACATAAATTGGGAGTTAGAGTCGAAAACGCCTTAAACTTAGTCGAAAAAGGCCGTTCGGGGGGCGAAAATGCAAAACAGCCCCCAAACCACTCTATGGATGTCACGGGCAGCTTCCCCATGACAAATAGGACATGTGGGGACAGACGGCATGTAATTAGCACACGTAGGTTAGGAGTTAGAGTCAAAAATGCCTTAAACTTAGTTGAACAAAGGCGTTCGGGGGGCGAAAATGCAAAACTGACACCGAACCACTTTGTGGATGTTACAGGCAGGCTCCTCGTGACAATATGCCTTGTGGGGACAGACGGGATGTAATTAGTACACGTACATTGGGAGTTAGAGTCGAAAACGCCTTAAACTTAGTCGAAAAAAGACGTTCGGGGGGCGAAAATGCAAAACAGCCCCTGAATCACTCTGTGGATGTTATGGGCAGGTTCCTCGTGACAAATAGGACCTATGAGGATAGACTAGATGTAATTAGCACATGTACATTAGGAGTTAGAGTCGAAAACGCCTTAAACTTAGTCGAAAAAGCCGTTTGGGGGGCGAAAATGCAAAATAGCCCCCGAATCACTCTATGGATGCCAAGGGCAGCTTCCTCATGAAAAATAGGATATGTGGGGACAGACGGCATGCAATTAGCACACGTAGGTTAGGAGTTAGAGTCAAAAACGCCTTAAACTTAGTCGAAAAAAGATGTTCGGCAGCGAAAATGCAAAACAGTCCCTGAACCACTCTATGGAAGTCACGGGCAGCTTCCTCATGACAAATAGGACCTGTGGGGACAGACAGAATGTAATTAGCACACGTACATTGGGAGTTAGAGTCGAAAACGCCTTAAACTTAATCAAAAAAGGCCGTTTGGGAGGCAAAAATGAAAAACAGCCCCCGAACCACTCAATGGATGTCACGGGCAGCTTCCTCATGACAAATAGGACCTGTGGGGACAGACGGCATGTAATTAGCACACGTAACTTGAGAGTTAGAGTAAAAAATGTCCTAAACTTAGTCGAAAAAAAACTAGGGGAGAGTTTTGTAAAAGCGAATCAAATCCATAGCTTTGTGACATATATATATATATATATATTGTGCCATGTGGTAGGTTGTATTATCCAAATGGGTAGAAAAATGATGAAATAGAAATTCACAATGATGGCAACCCTAGGTGCTCGGTTTGGTTCTTGAGATTAGAAAGAAAGAAAGTGAAATTAAGTTGTTCTATAATCTTTTTATCTAAATCTAATTAATTTTAGTTTTCCTTGCTTGCAAACTAATAAAGACTACCCATGAATCAACCATGTATGTCTCTATAAACATATACAAATATATATATATATATATATATCTGTGAATGAAATGAAATAATTATGAAGTTCTTGAAAGAAGACCCTAAACACTATTGTTACAATTAAGCTTATGTGTTGGGGCTATGTTATTGGAGTCAATCAATCAATATGCAAACATCTACCACACTGATTGAACTTGGAATATTGGCAAATTGATGAAACAATGATGAAACAGAAAAGCTTAAAAGATGCAACCCTAGGTGCTTTGTTTGGTTATTGAGATAAAAATAAAGAAAGTGAAATTCAGTTATTACATAAATTTCGCCAACATTTTTCAGTTTTTCTTGCTTGCAACCTAAAGGCCCGTGAATGAATGAATTCTTACATGTATGGATCTCTATAAATATATATACGAGTTATGTTATTCTTCCATGAATGCAGCTCAGATTCTCCGTAGATAGTGTTACATTATCCTCAAATGTTATATGGAACTAATGGGTTTATTTTTTTTTGTAGATGGCTTTTGGCATGGACTTGTGAATATTCCATTTTTGTATACGGAGGACAATTTCCACTTTTGTATAATCCCGCTTTTTTGTTGTCCTTTGCTTTTTGTGTGAATTTGTATTACTTGTACATAATACTTTTGGCGGGGTACATAACACTTTTGGCATGGAACAGACAATTATTGTCGTGATATATAGATTACCTTTTGTCGTGGTACGGATTATCATGTAATTTGTACCATGCCAAATAGCCATTTGGCATAGTAGTAAATATATTTTTGTGTAAGGAGGACATGATTTTCGTATGATTATTTGTTTTGTACGGAATTATTATTTTAAATTGGAATATACTTGATTTGTATGGAATTTGACATTTAAAGTTATTCATTTTTAGATGGTTGGAAGTGAAATAGATGCAGATTGTGGAATGGGTGATAATATATGTATTGTTTTGTTTGTATACCTCGTACAGGTTACATGGAATACATACAGGTTGTGGATGTGGACAAATTAATTTAAAAAAAAAAAAACGTAAAATGATGTTTTAGGTGACTAAACAATTGGTAGTCAAAAATTGAATAAATATTTTTAGTGACTAAATAATTATAAGCTAAAAAAAGAAGAAATTATTTCATTTTCACCCCTATACTTTTACACGATTTTCAATGACCCCCCAAGACTACTTTTGTTTTCACGCATACCCCTATACTATGTAAGTTATTATCAATTTTGCCCTTACCGTCACATTTGAAACAGAAAATGTTAAAAAAAATTATATTTTGGCCTCAAATTTCAAAAGAAAGATGCAAACCAATCCTTTTCTACCAGCAAACCACCACCACTTCAAGCCCTTCTATCTATTTTGTCATAACTCTATTTTGCCTCATTTTTATGGTATTGGATTCAACTCACGGTCTAGTTTTCGTATCACATTTCACACGTCTCGTTCTTTCTCTTTTTGCATGCTATCGAAGTTCCGAAAGTTGATAAAAAAAATAAATAAATAAATAAGACTTTTCTTTTCATTTTTGACTTTTCTTCGAGCCATCTTTCGGACTTCATATCTTTCTTGATTCTTGATAGTTCTACTTCATTATTTCGCCATTCTCTTCACCTCACTTCCTACTTCACCCTACACTACCTCACTTTCTCACTTCTTCGTGTAATGGGCAGTTTTGGTACCCCAAAATTTGTCTAAAAATTAATTTTGAAAATTTCAAAACATTACAACCCATATGGTGCAATTCTGTGAAAAAAAGTGTTTAGTACCCTTCCCCTACATCTCTCGCCACCATATCTTGACACTCACATCTGCGGAACCGGTGAAGACCAACCCATCAAATCCGGCAACCACCATATTCGCCGCGTCATCATGAACATGAATCGATTCCAAGCATTTTGAATTTGATACTTTCCAAACCTTCATTGTCTTATCCCAAGAAGCTGAGTATAACAAAGATTTGTCTTCACTCAAACTAAGACACGAAATCACATCGAAATGTTTGATCCAAACCGTATTTTTATTCCTTCTCACCTCAACATAATTGCTCGGATTGCGGGGTCGTTTGGTGGAGAAGTGTTAGGAGGGCTAGTGTCGACATTACTGAATCGAAATGATTCGTCTGCGGGGTCGTTTGGATTGAACTGTTGTTGTTGTTGTGATGTTTTGCCATACTTTTGGCGGTGAGAACTGGAGGTTTCTGTGATTTTGCTGCCTCTTCTTGAGCTTTTCATGGTTGTGTTCTCTCATGTATGGAAAGGTTTTTGTTGGGTGAAATGAATTTGGAAAAGAAACTATTTGGTTGTAATGGAAATAAAGAAAGAATAAAGAGAAAAACCAGGTTCTAATGGTAGTTCGAAGTTTTTTGTAATGTTTTGAAAATTTCAAAATTAGTTTTTGGATAACTTTTGGCGTACCAAAACTGCCCATTACACGAAGAAGTGAGAAAGCGAGGTAGTGTAGGGCAAAGTAGGGAGTGAGGTGAAGAGAATGATGAAAGAATGAAGTAGAACCGTTAAGAATCGACAAAGATATGTAAGTCCGAAAGATAGCTCAAAGAAAAGTTAAAAATGAGAAGAAAAGTCTTCTTCTTTTTTTTATCAACTTTCGGAGCTCCGATAGCATGCAAAAAGAGGAAAAACGAGACGTGTGAGATGTGATACGAAAACTAGACCATGAGTTGAATCCAACGACGTAAAAATGAGGCAAAACAGAATTATGACGAAGGAGATAGAAGGGCTTGAAGTGGTGGTTGGTAGTGGTGATTTGCTGGTAAGAAAATGTGGGTTTGCATCTTTCTTTTGAAATTTGGGCCCAAAATGAAATTTTTTTAACGTCTCTGTTTCAAATGTGACGACAGGGGCAAAATTGATAGTAATTTAAATAGTATGGGGGTACGTGTGAAAATAAGAGTAGTTTGGGGGGTCATTGAAAATCGGGTAAAAGTATAGGGGTAAAAATGAAATAATATCAAAAAATAATTAAAAAACAAATCTTTTGGTGACTAAATAGTTAGTAGCTAACAAAAGAATTAAATGAAAACAAATCTTTTTGGCGACTAAATATTTATCCATAAAAAAATAAGACTTTAGGCGACTAATGATTTTGTAGCCAAAAAAAGAAAAAACACTTTTGATGACTAAATATTGTAGTCAAAACTAAAAATATTATACCTTAGGGGACTAAAATTGTAGTAGCTAAACAATTGAAGCTTTTGGTGACACAAAATTTTAGTAATTTTATTACCCTAATTAATTTCAATAGACTTGATTAACTAGTTTATTAGCCTAGTTAATTTCAATAGACTTGATTAACTAATAGTAATTTTAAAATTGAATGGAAAAAAAGTTTCATAATTCAGTAACTACCCGTACAGGTATGACATGTTTGTTGACATACTCATGTTTCATAGTCTCAAGATAATTTTAAATGAGAATTTTTATATTTTTTTGCAAAGTACATATTATTTAAAAGTCATTTTCACTATTTGGCGGTATTGGTGTAAGAGGCGGGTACCCTTTTCCAATCCATTTGAATCCAATTATAATTGAGTTTGTAGGATAAAAGTCATTTAAATTATGACAAATTTCTCACATAAAATTACACAATTATTTAATGCTAATTGAATTTATAAATATTTATACACAAGCATCAGCATACACCATTATAACCTCACAATCACTACAATCATCACTAATATTGTTGCAATCATCATCACCATCACTATCATCACTGTCACTGTCACCACCACCACTGCCATTATGAAGCCACCATTGCCATTACCATCACCTTCATTATCATTGTCATCGTTATCATAAAACATACCATCATTTCAACTAGTGAAATTTCATTCTCTTTAAATAGTGAAATTTAAACTTAATATTTAGGTGAAATTATTAAAAAGGTAAAATTTCTACTAAAGAAGTAAAAATTATAGAATTAAAGGCAAAGACGAACTAGCGAGTAAATGGAAAACGTATGAGTTAAAGAGAGATGTCACCAGTGGTTTCGTTGGAGCAACAAGTGATCGTCACTGTATTTTTCATTAGCTAACGACAATTTAATTTTCTTAATTAACTTATAGCGACCCCGGTCTTTTCCCATTTGGTTATTGTATAATTGTTGTTGTTGTCTCTTATTTTCTTATTTGAAATTATAGGATGTGTTGGGCAGGTTTGTTTCAGGTTGGTTGGGTTTAGAAATCAAGTGTTGCTGTCCAGTATTTTGGATCTTCGCTCGAGCGAGGAGTTTGTCGCTCGAGCGAGATGTTGTTTTGGTTCTTCGCTCGAGCCGGGGTTTGGTAGCTCGAGCGAGAGTTTGCGTCTGGTTTGGACCTGTAGCTTTGCATTCTTGGCTCGAGCGAGCTTTTCTTCGCTCGAGCGAGTTAGTTCGTTCTTCGCTCGAGCAATAGTTCCTTCGCTCGAGCGTGTATCTTATTGCAGACCTGAGGGTTTGAGTTCTTCGCTCGATCGAGCTTTCTTCCGCTCGAGCGAGACTTGGAGTTGTTGGCTCGAGCAAGGCTTCCTTGGCTCGAGCGTAGTTTCTCTGTGCCTTGTCGCTCGAGCGACCAGGTCTTCGCTCGAGCGAGCCTGGCCAGTTTATATACACAGCAGCGGGTTTTGATCAGTCTTTTTCATATTCTTTTTGGTTCCAAACCCTAGGTCCGACTTCTCTCTCTCCCTACTCACCTTCTCTCTTAGATTTGATCCACTTAGGGTGTGTTTCTACCCTAGATCCTTCATTAAAAAGGTAGATTGAGTCGAAGGCTTCCATTTAATCTGAACATTTGGCAATTTGGAGCACTTTGGTGTTTGGGTATTCATCTCTGTCTTCTCCTTTTGGGTTGTTTTCTTCGAGGTAGGGATTTCCTACTCCACTTTATAAGTTTTGTTCTAAGTTTTGGTATTTTGATAAGTTGGGGTTACTTTGATAATTTTGGGAAAAACCCTAGTTGTGTTAATTAATTAATTTGTATAATTAATTTAAGGGAATTGGGGAATTTGGTTAAATTCATGAAATTGGGGAAATTATTGATTAAATGGTGTAGTTGGATAATTTAAACCACTCGCCTATTGAATGTTGAAATATTTATTTCCAGTCTAGAAATAACTGTTTTGGGCTATCGGTGGAGGATAGTCGAGATTGTTGTAGACGTTGCATGTGGATTAGGAATAACTGAAACTAATCACATTGGTTAAGTCATTAAATTTGACTACTGCATTGATACAGAAAATACATGTATTGATTGAGCATTGCATTTGCATACATTGTTTTGTATGGGAGGAGATAGGGGATGTACTCCACGGTTTAGGGGAAGATAGGGGATGGACCTCTAAACCGGATTTTGTTTGGGAGGAGATAGGGGATGGACTCCATTAGCATCACTTTTATGTGTGCTTATCTATATTGAAGTGTTTTTATTGATACAGCACTAAAATGTGTATCAATCTGGAAGTATGAAGTGTTTGATTTGAGCTTGAGTCTCATTTGTTTGTTGATATTGGAAGAATGTGAATATGATATATATAATTCACTGTTGTAAGTTTGGCCAGGTTCTGAGCCAAGTTGATGCCAGGGTTTGGTTCTAAGCAGTGGTTCAGTGGTAGTGGTGGCAAATGATTTGGCACGGAGGCTTAGTGTCTTGATTGTACTCTCAAGACGAGTGACAAGTAGGATGCGGAATAAAGAGTAGACCCTATAGGTCATTAAGGAATCAAGGTACTATATTTGGCTCACCCTTTATGGGAACATCATTTTCAGGTTCAGGTGATAAGCTACCTCCAAGGACTTAGCTTGGAAGGACTTGGACTTTGAAGAATGTTTCTAGTTATTAGTTTTATTTTATTGTTGTTACATGTAAACACTCAAGCCTAGGGCTTTAATTGTAATTGAGTTAGAACTCATACTTTGGTGTCCAAGTGTTGGCTTGGAAAGATGTAAGCCTGTAGGGCATTTAATTTGATGTTACATGTAATGCTTTTGTTTAGTAAGACTCTGATGAATATAATCTGAGTGTTTTCTTTAAATATTGCATGTCAATGATGTAAATATAATGGGTTCATTTTGAGGGCGTTACATAACTTGTTGTCTAATTAATTCTATAATGTGTGTAATTACAAAAATTTTAATATTGTTTAATTAAAACTTGATAGTAATAATTATTTCATTAGCTTCAACTAGTGAAATTTCATTCTCTTCAAATAGTAGTCATAATGTTTAGGTGCAATTTAACTATTAGCAAAGTGAACTTTCTAGTAAATGAGTAGAACTTATAAAATCAAATGCCAAAGACGGAATAACGAGTAAATTAGCATGGCATTTCATCAAACACCTTCTTTGCTGAATCCATATCCCCAGCTCCCCAATACATCTTTTTATGTGGATTTCTTCATTAAATGTTGTATGAGGATTTTAAGATTCAGTTTATTGAGATCAACAATAAAGACAATGAAGAAGAAACAATAAAAAGGTAAGAGAAGCAATGATGAATATTTTCCAGTTGTGCTTGTGGATATGTAATTGATGCATTTTGTTTTTGCTTTCATATATGCTATAATGCTTTATAAATTTTACTAGCGCTCTGCTTCTTGATATCTATCCTCCAAGGGTAGTTATATTTGTCGACGGAGGAATCTTTATTGGAGGAACAACAATGAGGACTAGTGCTCTACTTTATATGCTATCAGGAATCATCATATAAATCGATGATCTCCATTGGCAAAGCTTTATAAATGTTACTAGTGTGAATTCCTCCGTCGTAGTCAATGCCAATGAAGCTTTGAACAATGTTGCGAACAAAGAGTAGAGAGAGAGGAGTTATTTGGTGCAAGAAAAGAGAGGAGAGAGAATGAGAGAGTGTGTTATATATGGGTGTGAGTGAGGGACCTTAGACTACAAAAAAAAAATTATTGTGGACCTCTCCTATTACTAAAAGTTAGAGAGGGATGTTAGACCAATTTTTCCTATAAAAAAATCTATAAATACAAAAAATAAAAAAAATTATCAATTTTTTTATATTTTTATATTTGGTGTAATTTTAATTTTTTTAATGCGATTTATACTTTTAAATGTATCTAAATTTTATACTTTTTTCTCCCTCAAACTGAGTCATAAAACTCTAATAAAATAAAATTTATAAACAGTAAATAATAATTAAAAAATATTAATTTAACAAGCCTAACATATTTTTCACATCTATAAAAAAATAAAAATAAAAATAAAAATAGTTAGGAACAAATTTTTTTACAAAATTTTACCTTAATTTAAAATTCAGAACTGATTTGTAGCTCGAAAAGAGCCACCCTCGAATCCCCCGAATTTCCCCGAATTTGAAAAAGGAAGAAGAAGGAAGAAGAAGGAAGAAGAAAAAGAAGAAGAAGAAGAAGGATTGGAGGGGCCAACATCAACCAGGCTGGGCAGGGGGCGGAGGCGGAGGCGGAGGCGGGGCGGAGACGATCGGCCGACGAGCTGTGACGAGCGACGAGCTGCAACGATCGGCCGACGGCGGAAGCGGAGGGGCCCTTTCTTCTCTCCATTCCCTCTTCCCCTCCACTTTCTCTTCTCCTCTCTTCTCTCTTCTCTCCCTCTTTCTCTCCCTCTATCTCAGACCTGCATAAAGAAAAAAAAAAGAAAATGCCCAAAACGACGTCGTTTTTGGCGGTCGGGAGATTCGGAGGGGCAAAATTCGGAGAAAAAATCATTTTTCTTTAAAATTTCCTCTCAAAATTTAGTACCTCAAAATTTTGCCCCAAATCCCTCGTACGTTTCTTATGTCTGTTTCTCTCCCTCTCTCTTACACAGCTACTTCCTCTCATTCCTCCTCCCTCATGGTCGATTTTGTTGCTCCCCTTCCACCGTTGTACCGCCTCAAATCCAAAGTCGACACCACTGATTCACGAACTTGGATCATCTCATTCTCACCAAGTAAGTTGATTTCGCTTTCTCTCTCTGGATCTTATTCTCTGCCCTAATTTCTCACAAATCGACTCCCTCTCTTAGCAATCTCTACCTCACACACTTTCACTGCTCTGTAATCACTACCGCACCACGCCACCGTTGGCACCGTTTGAATACAGTGGTACCCCCTTCGTCGCCACAGGTAAGCCCGCTTTCCATTGCTTTTGTTGTCCCTCTACATCTCTCTCTCTCTTAGCCACCATATTTCGTTCTGGGTATGTGTTAATTTCCAGATTTAGTAATTTGAGGAGTATTTTGTGTTGGTACTTCGCATTTATGTTTCTTTGATCAATTGCAAATTCAGTTAAACACACAATATATTTATGTTGGATGTACACATGAATTATTGGAAGAAAAAACCTAGTGTGAACTAAGAATTTGGTTCTTGTGTTGTAGTAGTCTATTTAATCAATTTACTGACTTGCACTGCTATAATGTGTGTAATTTCTTAGGTATGATTGGTTTTGTATATTATTTGAACATGAGGAAAAGGACTAACAAGTCACCTCACAACAGAAAAAATGTATGCAATTAGTCCAACAAAACAAACATTAATCATCTTGAAACCTCTTGAGGTTAAGGGTAAAGGGGTACTAGTTCAAATCTGGTTTCAGGTTTTCAGTTTTATTTATTATTATTTTTTGTTTTGGTTTGGTGTGATGCTTCAAATTGAATCCTCCAAATATCATTACAAGAAATGGGTTTACAATTCATTGATTTAAAAGTTCATAGTTTGGGGAAGGTTTATAGTTTAATTTAGATGGAGTAGTTTAATTCACAATTAACAAATTCTTGGAATGGAAGTGTTTGGACTGATCAAAGTAATTTTGGCTGATAACATCATCGTTCTTCATCTTACATCTCTACATGTAAAGGCATTGCATTTTGTTTTTCTCTTTTCTTTTTCTTTATTTTGTTTTTTTTAAAGGTTCCTACGATTAGAATTGTTTGTCATTTTGTGATTTTTGATTTACAGGTGTGGTGTAAGCACTTTGAGGCAGCAAGAAAAGGTGATTCCCGAGTGATCACAGCAATGGACACAGTTCACACCGCTAGCAAACGAAGAAAATAGAAAGGTCCAGAAGAAATGAAACAAAAAAGAAGGTTAAACTTGAAAGAGAGATGAAGGAAGGCCGCTACTCATTTATCTCACGGTCCTGGAAACATCAATGGGATGTATACTAGGGCGGCACGATGAGAAAGGAAAGAAGGAGCATGCCATCTATTTGATGAATGAGTTATAGCTATAAAAGGTAAATCCATAAGTTAATTATAGTTGCAGTTTTTTATTTTGTTTTTACAAACCAGTAACTAAGTTTTGTCATAACAACTTTTATGGTATTGGTTTTTTAATTTAAAAAAGGGAGTTTGACTATAACTTTTGATTTAATTTTAGTTACATTTGTGCCAAGAGATTTAATTGGATTGTGCAACCCTTCTAGCATTGTATTCAAGTCCAGTTTTTCATTTGTTGCCTGCTAACTGTTAGTAAAAGAGCGTTGTGTATTATTTTTTGGTGGAGAAGGATGATTTTGACATTACTCTCAAGTTTTTTCGCTATATGCTCTACTAAAAAGAAAATTTGAGCCAAATGGGAAGCTCTCTCAAAGCTGTTACATGTGAGAAATTATAATGGTGATCATGACATCATCTTTTGGTTCATATTGTTTGTTGCAGCTAATAATTTCTCATGTGCATTGTTTGGTATTTTATTTTAATTTTAATTTTTTAAAATTATAGAGTACATGCTGGACAAATTTGCGCCCACTGCTGTCTTTTCTATTATGCTTTTTCCTTCTCCCACCCTTAATCTCTCTCACCTCTCGCACTAGACCTCCTCTCTTTAGTTTCTTCCTTCCTCTCAAATCCACTTTTCGTCTCTCTTACCCTCTCTTCCACCGCAGCTCACCAACGCCCTTCCCCGACTCTGGCTGCTGCCAGTGGTATTGTTATCGAGCACAAGGTAACCTTAAGAACATTATCATAGCCCTTCGATTTTTTTGGAATTCTTGAAGTTGTATTTTTTACCTAATTTTCGTATTTAAATCTTCATTTTTTTATATTTTGTTGACATTAGAAAATGAGTATTGACACTGGATTTTCATATTAAAGTTTTCACGTTGCTTAAACTTTGGGGGTCAGTGATTGCACAGTAATAAGATTTTTTTTTTCTTGGTTTTAGAACATTAGGAGACATGATAGCATGATTATTTATAATTTTTATTGAACAACTGATAGTGTTGGCCAATCCATCTAATTGATTGGTGAATCATACTTTTGCAAAATGTTAGATGTGCAATCTATTAGTTAACTATTTTTGTTGACTTGTAGAAAAGTGATCTTGAATCTTTACAGAATGTTAGGGTTTTGTTAAAATTCCCTTGTAATCTTTAACAAAACCCTAGATTCTCTCTACTCTCTTTGTCTTTATTCTCTCTGTATAGAACCCTTTCTCATGGTTTACTCTCACCTCATCCCTTCCATCCATTCCCTCTTAATCGACAGAGGGATTCCTATGGAGGTATGGCAGTTTGATGATTGTTTGTTGGTGTTTCTGCAGCCATTTTCTTCATCCCGTTCCACCTACAATTGGAAGTTGCCACCACCATTCGATCAACAACGACCACTTCGCCACCGCCAACCCCAACCCCTGTTACAACCTCTACCCGGCAGCACCAGGTAATTCGATTAATCTTGGTCTCTCTCTATCTCCCTCTCCTTTCCCAAATTTCTAAAGCTTAGCTATGTTTACATTTTCTGCAGTAGCTACCATCTCTAGTTGATGGATAAATGTGGGTAGGTAGATCATACCCCGCTTACCGTTTTCCTAAGGTATAGAACGTTCTATTTTGGTATATTTGGTTACTGTTTTATTGTTTTCCTTATCTAAATATCTCTCTCTCTCTCTCTCTCTCTCTCTCTATATATATATATATATATATTTGTGTCAGCTCTCTAATTGATATGATATTTTAATTATATTGTTATTCAGCAAAACACATTTTCATTTTGGTTTTGAAGTGTAATGTCTTTGTTTTCATCCACTACATGTGAGAAAAATGACTTAATTTGGAGCATATGACAACATGCTAATTCAAGTGTGATATTGAAACATAAATCTCAATAATATTGAAATGTGTAGTTTGGATATGATGTCCTTTGTATTATTGAGAATGTAATTAATCTATTAATGAATATTGAAATTGTTGTTGAATTTTGAAATCTGATATCTAAATATTTGAAATGTATATGAATTCTAGATATGAACTTTTGCCAAGTACTTGGTATATTGTGGGATGAATGGTGTCGCTAAACTCATGTGAGCACATTAGAGCTCTATAACTCATATTATCACATATGTCAACCATTACTTGCATTGGTGCTATTTATATAAAAGCTAACCATTGAATTCGCAAAGGCCAATGTGGTGGGTCCAACATGCTTCTTATTTATTTTAATTATCTAAAATTGATTGTCTGTTTTTGTAGTTAATTTTGGTTACTAATTTAATTATCTTATGATTTGTGAATGACAATGTCATGATACATAGAAGGGCGTGGTTGGTCAATGACATGAGATGGTTGTTGGTTTTGATTGGGGTGATATTACGTTGGGAGTGCTTGGTGGGTGGGTGGTTTTGGTTTTTATTGTGTACATCTTTGGGCTTCTCCGGCTAATTTGAGTTTGGTTTTTTCTTTGGGATCAATGTACAATGCTGTGTTTGTTTTTTACCCCACCATTTTAAAGCATATAGATAGGAGTTGGCGTTATCACAAATTAATAGTGGCGTGAAACGAAAGCATTCTATGTTGGGAAATCATTCTTGGATTTTGTGTTCATTTATCACAAATTAAGCTATGATTTTATTTATTTATTTTACTTTTGTAGTTATATGATTAATTTAATGAAATTTTTGTTGGAACTCCCTTTATTATAAGTTTTTACCAGCATAACATAAATAAAAGAAATTATTAGCTCTAGTCTTCTAATTATTCGAAGACCAAATGATGACTAAAGTACTCTCCCATAAAACTAACCCTTGCACTCTAGTATCTTGTTAACAAAAACATATTTGATTCATTTAAAAATTTTAAAATATGATAATTTTGGAGGTGAAGGTGGATGTGGTAGTAGGCTGGTAGCAATGGCGGTGGTGGGTAGGGAGTGACAGTGGTGGTGGTAGAGTAATGATAGTAGTGGAGGTGAAATGGTGGTAGGGAGTGACGACGATGATAACGGTGGTGATGGTGGTTGTGAAATCGGTGGTGTTAGTGTAAGAGGCAGTACCTGTTGTCCAATCCATTTGAATCCAATTGTAATTGAGTTTCTAGGATAAAACTCAGCCCAAGCCCAACGATGAACTCATGGAAAGATCTAGTTTATGGGACCCTTTTTGCACATTTTGAGTTGTATGTGTGAAAGATGCTTTACTATGAAGGTTCTTCACCTCACATCTTTGTAAGGGTGATTAGAACTTGGTTGGGTATGACTTATGGGATAGTATTTATGTTTTACTAGGCCAACTATAAATTGACAAAATTAAAAATACAAAGTTTATTGTGTCAAATGGCTCAAAACTTGGGTTTTTTCTCTTTTTTATTTTCATTTTTTATAGTAATTGTCCCCAAAAAAAAAGAAGTGATGAGTTAAGGAGTATTAATGATTTTCATTTGAGAAGAGTTTTCCATGATTTTTTTATGCTAAATTCCTTTGTGTATTTCCTTGGCATAAACATTGAACTTCAAATTATTTTTTAAATGCGTAATTTTTATTTTTGTTTTGTTTTTATGTATAAAATTTGTCCTATTCACCTAACTTTAATTAACTTTTCATAATCATTGAACTTCAAAGTTGAGCATATAGGATACTACAAATCTAGACAGGATATTACAAATCGTGATATGTAGTTTTTGTTTTGTGTTTTCTATATGGACATGTTTTTTATGCATTACATGTTTATGTTATATTTTGCTTTGTTTCTTCAAGTAAATAGTCTACTTTATATTTTATGTTTTATATAAATTTATGCTTTTGAGTCACCAAAATGGCCAAAGGGGAGAAACAATGGATGAAACCAGGTTTTCTAGCGAAATAGAAGCTAATAGAGTACAAAAAGGAAAGAAATAAGAGAATCAAGAAGAATAATAAGAAAATGAATGGTCTACAAGTGAAGGGTATAGCAGCTTCTTTGATGGGTTCTACTCAGCCCAATCATGTCAATGAGAAGGAAAGAACATTAGGGTTGAGGTAGATGACAATGACTACATACCGTTAGATGATGATGATGATGAGTCCTTTGAAAGTGTTGAGGATAAGGTACTATATGCATGATATCTAATTTTTTTTATTATGTCTCGTAACTATATATTCATTATTTTTTGTTATTATGTCTCGCAATTGTTATTTTTTCATATCCAAGATTAGAATTCTTCGTAACTAATGAAGATGTTTAATAAAACGTTATTTTTTCCCCTTTTGTTATTGTTTCATTGTATTTTCGTATGTACCATGATGTTGAATCTAGGGTTTTCAATTTGGGTTTTAAAATCTATATTATATGTGTATATGATCTGGTAAGAATTTAAAGCCCCATGCTATTTCCCTATTTCTATTTCATGGTCACTGGGGTTTGATGTAATGAAAAGGTTGGAAATTTTTTGGCAATTAGTGATTATACTTGTCACTGCAAGGGCCTTTACCAATTAAAGAGTTAAAATGGAAAATTTTGGCTAAATTTGCACATTTTGTTGAAAGATAGTAATCAAGTTAAAGTTTTGTGTAAATATGCTTTGTTATGTGCCCATTTAATATTTTTGTCAATTAGGTTTTTGTTTCATGGGCATGTGATAATTATTAGTTTTGCCTCTAATTTGCAGGTACAATTGTTTAGCTTTTGGAAAACTTGGTATGCTATTATCTATTGTTCGATTTGGATTTGTGGCAAGTTTACGGCAAGAAAAGCCTGCAGATTAAGGTTCTAGAAGAAGGTATAAGAAAGGTTGTAGGTGTGTGGGGATTGAATAGGACAGCATATTGTTTGGCTTTGACTTTCTTAAGATAGTTCTCTGGCAATTATTACATGTTAGAGTTGTTTACACTTTTCTATAACAATTCAATTGAGTATATTTTAAGACATCCAGTGAAGCTCATGATGTGTAAATTTCTTTTCTGAAGCTGAGATGGTTATTTGAAGTCAAGGTTTTGAACCACATTCATGTTTTTCAATTCTCTGTAATTAATGCATGTGTGGTGTCTCCAGGGAAGATTCAAGAATCTACCAGGCCAAGTTAGAGCTTTTGGGATGCTTGCTGGAGGCACTGGCATTACTCCAATGTTCCAAGTACCTAACTTGTTGATAAAAGATGAATAGCTTTACCCAAACAAGGACCCTTTATGTGTTGAACAAAAAAGATGTAGGTTATCTTTTACCCCTTAAAAGCAAGTTTTATTCTTTTGAATTTTTTTATTGCAGTCCCACTACTTGTCATGAAAATATAGATTGATATTTCTATTACATGCTTAAATTAATTTGCTAATTTTATGTTATTTTTCATATAAAAAAATTTGTTAGGTGCTTGCAATTGAGATTTTTGTTGTAACAAATGCATATTTATAATAAGGGTAAATTACACTAACACCCTCTGAGGTTTCTGTTTAATACAGATCCTTCCTTACGTTTGAAAAATTACACTTAACCCCTTGTCAGAGTAAAATGACATATTTGCCCCTTAGCCTTTATACATATAAAATAATGTTGATATTTTGTTTATGTCATTTGAAGATAAATAACATCTCCTTTGGTTTAATTCACACAAAAAAGTTAATTTTTTTTTATTTTGTGTTTTTTTATTTTTACTGAATTTTTAAAAATATTTTAATCAATTTTTTTTTATATTTTAGATACACCTAATATACTTAAGAAGTATAATATTTTGTGATTTTTTTTTTAAATTCACCAAATACAAAAAAAATACAAAAATTCAGTAATACTGTAATATATGTGAATGACAGTGTTTGGTAATACTGTAATAAATGTGGGTGAATAAATGAGAAAGAAAAATGGTGGAAATAAACGAGAAAGAAAAATGAAGGTGGAAATAAAAATGAAAAATTCTATTCATTTATAAAAACTTATCATAAAAATGTTGATATAGTGATGTTGTCATAAATATAAATCATGTTTATGAATATTTTGTTCTAAAGTGAAAGTCACCATTAGGCTATATCATTCAGTGTGTTTGGTTTCAGTTTACTGAAAACTGAGTCTTTTGTTTTTCGTGTTTTTTTGTTTCTAGTGAATATTTTTAAAATTTTAAGTAATTTTTTTACTTTTTTAGATGCACCTTACTTAGATGTATCTAAAATAGTAAAATATTTGTGAAAAAATATTTTAAAAAATTAATAAATACACAAAGATACGAAAATGTACTGATTTTTCATATTTTTTGGTATTTAGTGTATTTTTTAAAGATTTTTTTCACAAATATTATACTTTTTAAGTGTATTTATGTTAGGTGTGTCTAAAAATTAAAAAAAAAATGCTTAAAATATTAAAAAAATTCATTGAAAACATTAAAATACGAAAAATAAAAAAGTAGAATTTTCTGAAAACTGGAACCAAACAAGCTAATTGTGTTTCAAAATTTTATATAAATTTTATGTTTGTATATCATTACTCAATAAAAATATATTCGGGTAGAATTTAATGATGGAAAGTTGTAGAACGTAGCCATGATGATAGGAAGAAGAAACGGTAGGTAAAAGTGCAGAATGCTCATTTAAAAAATTTTAGGGCATGAATCGGCAATCTAGGGGCAATTTGTAATGAGATTACAAACTTCAGGGAGGCGAATGTAATTTTTCAAACGTGCATGAATCGGCAATCTAGGGGCAATTTGTAATGAGATTACAAACCTCAGGGAGGGGATCTGTATTAAACAGAAACCTTAGAGGGGTTGTCAATGTAATTTACCCATATAATAATTAATTGTGTGGAACAAATGTCATTGAATACTATTTGTGACGGTAACCTAATGGTCGGTAAAACATAATAAGCATTTTAAAATTTTTTTTTTTTGCAATGGCAAAACAGTAGATGTAATAAGTTCGCCATTGCAAAAAGTATTTTCCACCCCCATATTTGCGTCCCTCATTTGCCATTGCAAAAAACTTTTTGCGATTGTATTTTTACTTTTTTGCGACGGCTTGTAGCGGTTGCAAAAAGTACTTTTTTTAGTAGTGGCTAGAAGTGTGGCCTACCTGAAATTGAATTGATAAAAATAATAACTTAATTTTTTTTCAAAGAGCAGTTGGTTAACCCCGTTAAGATTCTAATATCATTTGGATATGGCTTTCTGGAGGTGGATGGTTAAACAGTTTTTGGAGGAAGAGGCTTATCAATGTATATGTAGGATTTTATGAAATATTTTTGATGTTGATGAGGTTGTATCTGTAGTAGGGATCTTTGTATTTAGCTTGAAGAATTATGAATATTGAACTATAGAGATTAATTCCTCAAAAAAAACTATAGAGATTTAAACAATATGGACTTCATTGGTTTTGTATATGAAGCACGGATACGGATACGTGACACCACACAGACACGTGGACATATAAATTTTTAAAAAATGAGGGACACAACACGTTGGGGACACGTTCAGTATATATAATTTTTATTTATTTATTATTTGTAAAAAAAATTTAAAAAAATTATTTATTTTTATATTATATTATTTATTTATTTTAATATCAAATATCATTCATAAATTATTGTTTTTTTTGCAAATAAAAATAATTAATGTTTAACAAACAAGAATATTAAAAAAAAATTTAAAGAAGTAAAAGAGGGAATAAAAAAGATTTTTTTTTTACCAAAAATAAAACAGGTAAAAAAAAGAAAGAAAAACAATAAAGAAGAGAGAGACGACAATTTTTATTTGGGCGGATATGAGAGAGGTAGATAGTCAAAACACAAAGAAAAGGAAAGAAAGAGTCGAACAAAGAAGCAAGCGGAGAATTGAACAGAGAAAGTGGGAGAGACGAACACAGCAAGAGATAGAGAGAGACGAACAGAGATAGAGAGACGAATGAAACGAAGATTTGAAGAAGATGAAGGTGTTATGTTCTAGGACATCTCCAAAAAGGGTTTCAAAAATCTTGGATGAACTAGAATTAGAACCGAAACCAGAGTTAGAATTGCCATTGTTGGGTGTATCGTTGGGCTTCTTTGCCATTACATTTGATTCGATTCCATCAGTTGAGCAGTAGAGGAAGGAATTGTGAAGAGAGAATTCAAATTCGAGGGTTGGGATCACAGAGAGCACTGAACAGAGGGAGAGAGCGAGTTGAACACACAGATTGGAAGAACACACCTCGATCTAGCCTCGACCTAGGGCTTCAATAAGTTCTTCATCCTTTCTCTATCTCTATCTCTTTTTATGTCTCTGTCTCTGTCTACAATGGTTAGGGTTTCTCTCTTTATCTCCAATGGGGTAGGGTTTCTGTCTCCAACGTGTCTGAGAGTGTTCGAAGAGTGTCCGGTTGCAAAAAAAGAAAAAAAGGGACACATTAGGTATAGGGTCCGACACGTGTCCACCACGTGTCCGACACATGTCGGACACCCATACGTTGCCTCCGGAGAGGTGTCCATGCTTCATAGGGTTGTGTCTTTGTTCAACTTCATTTGCCTCTTGAGAAATTGCATGCTTTTGAATTTTTTTTATTATTTTGCTGATATGACTTTTTTGGGTTATGTAAGGTGCTTTAATGGTAGTTCCTCTCACTTGCAGTTTTCATGTTTTGAAGGACTCTCTTGGAGGTTCTGTTCTTTCTCACTTGTTCTTTCATATTGGCTGACGCTTTTCACATGGTAAGAATATCTTTATTCTTGCTTTTAGTTTTAAATTCATTTGATTGCTACTTCAATAGTTAATGGAAACTGATTTTTATGCTGTTGCTTCTTTTTTTAAACTTGTAGATTTGGATGTTTGCCATTTTAAGTTCACACAAAAATGCAAAAATTGTGTAGATTTTTCTTTTCGTTATGAATACTTTGGTGTGGTCAGTCAACATGTTAATAAGAAGCACTGACTGTGGTATAAGATCCAGTTTCTAATGAGAGCAAAAAAAATGTCTACTTTCTAATGAGAGCATGTATCCACTCAAAATTCTTAGACATTTGGTTTGCAACACTCATGATAACACAATATCCTTACCTTCCTAATGTTGACCGTCATAATGACGCATGTACTTTTGATGATTTATATGTGGATGAGGCCATCCCACATGATAAATACCATTTCATGTTCCTATAGTGAGGAGAAATTTGATGGAAGTGAAGGTTTTGGTGATGATTTAAGCTCAGCAAATGGACAGGGATCGTTAACCCTTTTACCAAAATTGACTAGTGACTTCTGACTTTTTAGGGATAATGTAATTTGGATGGCTTCTTTATGGATGATGTATGTGGATGTAAATTTGATTTTGGATGCCAATTTATTGGGCACAAAATGCATTCATGTTGAAGAGTACAAACCAATTGATTGCATGATTGATTGTGTACTATTATCAGTTAAGTCTAAACAAAACAAATTTGTTCTTAATCGATTATGTAATTAATTGTGAAATTATAACATGTCTAGTGCCTATTAGATCCAAATTGATTGCATGATTGTGAAATTGCGTAACAGATCCTAATCATTCACTATGAATCGATGGTAAATAATATCTGTTGGCTACATATTTTGTACAAGCCAATTACAATTCGACGCATGGCAAAATAAGGGTAATATAGGAAGATTATTCAAGTCTTCGATCCTGATCGTACACGTGGCAGTTAGTATTGGTTATTGCGAGATCTGAGTAGTAGCGGATCAACAAAGGGATGCAAGGTGATGTGGCTTCAACGGTTATTCACACTTGAATTCAAATTTAGGAGGGAAGCCTAACTGCAAGTGATGGTATAATGGGGCTAATTACAAGGCAACATGATTAGCGATCATGGAGGAGCAGTTCGACGGTTTTAAATGCAGTTCGATGGTCA